GAATTTGGGGCCTTCCAGGGCAGTGGTATCAAACACATAGAAATGGGGGCTACTATTCCATACATACTGACTTAGTTTTAAAATGTAATGTTATCTATGTTTTATTGAATTTTTGTATTTTGTTAAATATTTACCAATTTCTGATCTGGTTCTGCATCCAGTGTTTGGCACCTTTGCTCTTGGGAACGCAGCTGGCATGCTGTAGGCAAATATGGGAAATCAATAAAGTCCTCCTCTTTATCACCTCACACTTAGCTAAGCATTGCAGTCGGGCTGGGGCCTACTTCTCTTTACAAGGAAAAACCCGCTATTCTTCCCCCTCAGCCCCAGGGTCAGTTTTTCTCTCCCTTCATCTCCTCATCCAAACTTACCTATCCTGTGGCTCAAGTCCTCATGAGCTTTCTTTCTGATAGGTGACAACTAGCTAATTGAATCAATCAATCAATTAATGGAATTAAAAGAATGTGTTTTTATAGATGCTTATGTTTTAAAATTGCCAGGTGAAATATTTCTGTTTTGACAAGAATCTCCTGCCTAAATTCATTGGGGGGGGAGGCGGAGTTCTCAAACACTGTAGTAAGATAGTGGGGAGCATCAAATTGTAGAACAATAGAATGTTGGACCTTAAAGTTTATCTAGTCCAATCTTCTCATTTTACAGATGAGAAAAATGATGCCCAGAGGATTGGAGTGACATACTCAACTAGTCATACATCTAATTCATGGCAGAGCCAGGGCCCCAACCCAGGTCTCCTACCTCTCTCAGTTCAATGTATCACAAGGCATAGACAGATGGGCTCTATGATCATTCTTGGATCATATCAGTAAGATCATGCCTGGCGGAATTGTAAGCTCGCAAAGGCAGGATTTGTGCTTTGTGCATCTTTGTATGTCCATAGTACTTAGCAGGAGATTGAACTGGGTATGAATTGAGCTCAAGAGAGACCCTGGATGGTTGCATTTTTTTAAACCTAATTACTTACATGGATTTGTTTATTTTGTTTTTGTTTTTTTGTCCTCACAGTGGACATGAGGGCATGGATATGGTGATTTGTTCATTCTAAATCTCTCTATAAGTTCTTCTTGTTTAGGAGTTTATAATAAGTCGCTCCCCGGCTCAGAAAACCTTCATGGCACTCTATTGCCTATGGAACAATGTTCAGACTCCTTCATTAGATTGTAGGCATCCTAAGGGCATGGATTGTCTGTTTACTTCCCGATATCTCCATATAAATGCTGGCATGACCTGAGGCTGCATTGATAGATTCATAGGATCCAGAAGAGGGATGATCAGCTCACTTGTGCTCTGCCTTGGCCATACCTTCCAATCTGGGCACTGAATGACCACTGTGCAGGGACCTTATAGAGGAGATTCCTGTTCATGGGTGGATCGTTCAGGGTGGGCTGGAAGGCCTCTGAGGTCCCTTCTGACTCTGACATGCTATAATTCTTTTACATGCTGTACTAGATTGTAAGTTCATTGAAGGCAGAGACTATTTTTTTTTGGGGGGGGTGAGGCAGTTGAGGTCAAGTGACTTGCCCAGAGTCACACAGCTAGTAAGTAGAGACTATTTTTTTTATGCATCTCTGTATAGCACCTTGCAGAAAGACTAGTTGATCAATGAATATTATTCTGAACGAAGATGATGAGATCTTTCCCAGCTTAGTCTTAACCTACTTCTCCAGCTTTATCTCCTACCAATCCCTTATAGGATCCCTATAATGTAATGCAGGAGCAGCTATTAAATGCCACTTGTGTGTAAGGCATTACAGTTCCATTAAATCACCCTATTCACTGTTTTCAGAACATACCTGTGATTTTACTGTTTCCCTGCCTTTTCTCACACCCATCCTTTCTATTTGGAAGGCCTGTCCCCATTCTTCAAGGGCTGGCTCAGATGTCTCCTTGGCTCTGAAAGCTTCCCTAATCACATACTCCCAGATGTGATCCCCTTTTCCTTGGAAGGAGATCTTGTTGTCTACATTGCTTGTTTGGTGCTTAAAACATACTGCCTTGTATTATAATCAGTGGTGTTCATGGGAGCCAGAAAAACCAACGCAGTGGTAGGCTCATTAATGGCAGCCTGGCGGCCAGAAGAAGGATCGTCTGACTCTGCTCTTTGATGGGCAGACCATATCTGGAGTATCCCATTCCATACTGGACACCACATTTTAGGAAGGGTCCTAACAGATTGGAGCATGTCCAGAGGAGGACGAATAGGTTGGTAAGAAGACTATAAACTATGCCATTAGGAAGATCAATTCAAGGATCTGGAGGTATTGGGAAGGGAGACAAGACATAGGGGGACATGATGGTTTTCAAATACTTCCAAGAACTCTCATATTAAAGAGAGATTTAGCTCGTTCTTTTTGGTTTTACAGGGGAGAATTAGCTGCCAGGAGTGAAAACCTCAGAGAGGCAGATTTTGGCTGGAGAGATTGAAAAGAGGGAGGCAGAGTAACAGAATGGGAAGTGCACTGGACCTGGACTCATCAGAGGCATGCATTCAAATCCCATCTCTGACACTTACAGTTGTATTACCTTAGACAAGTCACTTAACCGCCCTGAGACTCAGTTTCTTCATTTGCAAAATAGGGATAATAATACCGGAGGTACTTGTTTTTTAGGATTGCCTTGCAGGTTCAAATGTGATAATGTATGCAAAGGGATTTCCAAATCATGAAGCACTGTGGGTAAGCATCAGTCATTCCTGTCAGAGCCACCTACTAGCAGAATGAGCTGCCTCAGTAGGTGGTAGATTCTCCATCACCGCACCTTCTCACCTGGAGAGGAGATGGTCAGTTTTCAGGGATCTCATAGAAGAGATTTCTATTTTTTCTTTGGTTGTTGTTGTCCAGTCATATCTGACTCTACATGACCTTATGGACATTGTCCATGTGATTCCCTTGGCAAAGATGGTGGAGTGGTTTGCCATTTCTTTCTTCAGTGCGTCTCCATTTTACAGATGAGAAACTGAGGCAAACGGGTTAAGTGATTTGCCCAGGGTGACACCGCCAGTAAGTGTCTGAAGTCAGATTTGAACTCTGGTCTTCCTAAGAACGGGCCTGGTGCTTTATCCACTGCACTACCTAGTCTTTCCTCTTGGACTATGTGGCCTCTTAATTCCCTTCCAACTCTTGGATTCTATAGTTGCTCTACTAAATTGTAAGCTCTTAAAGGCAGGATTTGTGCTTTGTGCATCTTTATATGTTCATAGTACTTAGCATAGGCTCTGATAGAGATGGAGAAGGTTCGGGAGATTGACCTGGGTATGGATTAAGCTCGAGATGGTTATGTGTTTTTTTTTTTTTTACCTAATTACTTACATGGATTTGTTTATTTTGGTTTTGTTTTTTTGTCCTCACAGAGATGATATGGTGTAAGAACATCGTGGTCTTGGAATCATAGGCTCAGGGTTTGAGACCTACCTGTTTCTGACAATGACTTGCTGTTTGACCCTGGTCAAGTCACTCGACTCTTCTGAGCCTCGTGGGGTCATAGATTTAGAGCTGAAAGGGACCCCTGAAGCCATTTAGTCCAATCTCTTATTTTAAATATATAAGGAAACTGAGGCACAGGAATATTGTGTGACTTGCTTAAGGTCACACACGGGTAAGTGCCTCAGTTCTCTCATATGTAAAATGGGAATAAGGATAATACTTATAACTACCTGAATTTTAAAAAAATGGCATTGGAAGAAAGAGTTAGAAGAACTGGATTCAAAATCCAAGCTCTGCTACTTTCTACCTCTGTTAACTTGGGCAAATCAATTCATACCCTTAGGTCACGGTTCTCTCATCTGTAAAAATGAGTTAACTTGGTTTTAAAGGTCCATTTCATCTTCAAGCCTTTAATCTTATTGTCTGTCCCACATCACAGGGGTGTTTTTTGTTTTGTTTTGTTTTTAGAAGAACAGCATTTTATAAATTCTAAAGTACTACATGAATTCACAATACTCTAAGACATTCCATTTAATTGAGGAGGGAGAGGTAAGTTAATTGAGGATTTGCTATTTTTCCATTACACCGCATCTTCTCGCTTTGTTACCCAGTCTGGCGGTTTGGGGTTTTGCTGTTGTTTTGTTCCCTTGAGATCAGGATGGACAGGGCTTGTCTGCATCTTCGATTTCTGCCTCCCTCCTAATTATTACACAGGGTTTTGTTGTTATTTTTTTTTTTCAAACAAGGAAGACCTCGCTGAGGAAACCCAGGCTGAAGTAGCATGTAGATGACAGCACTGGACCCTTCCCCCACTCCTCCTCCCCAGGGAGGTCACCATATGCTTGCCGGATGTCCGGTCTCATCATGTAGCTGCTCACAAATTCATCTTGTTTAATTGTGCTCTGAGGCCTGCTGATGGGGCCAGAGGGAATTCAGTATCTATTAATGGAGGATCTGTTTGCCTGGGAGGATCACCATGGCAACTGAGGTATCAATGCATTGTAATGAACTTAGTCAGCACAGCCCAATATGGGAAACCGAGGAACCAAATGCTGCCAGTTCACTGGGTTCTCTACTGGAAGGTGCTATAGCCCTCAAGCAGCTCAGCAGCTGGGCTAAGTTAGGGAGGGGGATAGTGGGAGGAGGCAAGATGAGAGCTATCCTTCAGCTTGGTTTGACCCTTTCACTACCAGGACAAAGTCCATATACAGCCTATTTACTGATATGCTAAGCTTGTAACTCCTTGGCCACAGAACCTGGATAAATAAAATCCACAGAAGATGCAAAATCCTCTTTTTTTGCATTCTTTTTGCCTGCATTCTTGCATTGCATTCTTGCAATCCCTCTTCTACCAAACCGATTTTTGTTTTTCCTTTGGGGGGAAAAAACATACCAGATCAGCCAGTGTGACTTGTTCAAGGTCATACAAGTAGTAAGTATTGGAGCCAAAATTCAAAGCTGAGTTTTTTGGCTCCAAAACCAGTGTTCTTTACACTATTGCATACTGCCTCTTGATGTCCTTTTTGTAAGTCACTCCCAAATGCTTGTTATCTTTGTCAGCAGAGCCCAGGGACAGTAGCTGAATCTTCCTTTGTTGTAAGTGACAATCCTTTGGGACCTCAGGGAGCATCATTGTGAAGAGATTCCTCTGTCCTGGACTGTGAGTGGAGATGGAGAAGGTACAGGGGACTGGGTGGAATTCAGATGCAATCTAACACATCCTTTTGTTTAATCTTGCTTTATTATATGGGCAATTCTTTCTTATATGGGAATTTCTTTCTAAAATGTTATTTATATCTTTTGTTTTTACTTAGCCCAGATTTCCTCTGTATGCATTCTCCCCATCCCCTCCAGAGAGCTATTTTTCTCATAACAAATAATTTTTTGAAAAAGAAAGGAAAAAATTCAGGGTAATCTATCAATACATTGAAAAATATGACATTTCATGTACTATTCCATATGTATGTGGCACCCGCTGACCAAGGAATTGGGAGAAATGTTTTTTCATGTCATTTCTTTTGGGTCAAGTTTATTATTTGTAATTTTGTAACACTCATGGTGATCCTTCCATTTGCATAATTATACTCATTGTCTTTCTTGCCTTCTTATCACTTTGTATCAGTTCATGTAAATCTTTCCATGATTTTCTGTATTCATCATAATTACTGTTTCTTACTGCACAATAATATGTCATTGCATTCATGTACCACTCCCTGGCCGATGGGCATCTACCTTATTTCCAGTTCTTTAAATGAATGAGTGAATGAATGAATATTCAGCCAAAACAAGCTCCTTTAGAGCTTGTTCTTAGGTTTAGACTGATAGTGAATGAATGAATGAATGAATGAATGAATGAATGAATGAATGAATGAATGAGTGAGTGAGTGAGTGAATGAATGAGTGAATGAAAGAAAGAAAAAAAGTATTTATTATATACAAAGCACAATGCTAAGCACTAGGATTGCAAGGAGAAAAGTAAGACAGTCCCTGATCTCAAGGGCTCACATTCTAATGGTAGAGATAACACATGGGGAAGGTTTCAGCTCAATTCAGATAAAAAGGTCCCATGATCCTTGGGTGCAGAAGTGAAGCAGATAGTAAAGTCTCTTCTTTAATGTCATTTCCACTGATAAAATTACCTCAGTTTCTTGTGCTGAACCATGTGACAATGCCAAGAACTTGGGTGACCAAAACATCCTTTTCTAGGCTTTCAGTAGGTATGGTTATGGTTCTGCCGGAGCAGTTGCCTGGCCTCATCACCATGGGGATTGTTCCCAGGATGATGGCTGTCTCCACTGGGGCCTGAGAGGAGATGATGGTCAAGGTGGTGGTGATGATTTGATTCGTCTGGTACACAGTGCTGCCCGTCTCCTCTTTAGGGTCCCTGCAGCTTCAACTAGGCTGGCTTGCCTGCCCATTGAGTGACAATTGGTCCACAATTGGCCCACAGTTGGTAGGGTTGGTTGACTTTTTCTCAACAGGAGTTGTTTCCCCTGGTGCTGGCTATGAGACCTGGGCTTGAAGCAGTACTGGTGGTCTGGGAGAGTGCTGCTTATCTGCCTGTTGGTGGCAGTTGTCAGCACAAAGACTCCTGCTATAACTATTTTTATGAATGTGGAGCTTTCCTTTCTGTTAATGGCTTCTTTGTGGCAAATGCATAGCAATGGAATCTCTGGATCAGGGATTATGTACATTTGGCCACTTTATATGTATAATTACAACTTGCTTTTCAGAATGATTGTACTAATTCACAACTCCACCAACAATGTATGGGTGTCCTCATCTTTCCATAATCTCTCCAACATTGACTTCCTATCTTTTGTCATCTTTGCCAATTTGCTGGATGTGAGGTGTCTTAATTTGCATTTTACTTGGTATAACTGATTGGAGCATTCTTTCATATTGTTGTTAATAGTTTGCAGTTCTTTTGAGAACTGTTTGTTCATGGCCTTTGACCTGTGGAAAGGTCAGAAAAGGGCAATAGCAGTAGTAAAAAAAGATACAGATAATCCACATCCTCATTCCATCAGTCTCTCAATAGAGAACTGACTGAAGGCTGCAAACGTCATGGATCTCTAAGTGCGGCAAAATGAGGAATGGAGAAAGAATTGATGCAGAAGGAACATAATTCTCCTTCTTCTCATCTGAGTCTCTGACAATAGCCTAGAGGAAGAAGTATAAGTGGAAAGGAGGGGAGAGGAAACATGTCTGATTTTTAATTAAAAGTGAAAGCATGCCTCCCAGTCTAGCCTTGGCCTCCTTCTGGACAATGATGCTTCCCCCTGTCTTCTGTAGCCTCTCAAGGACGCTGGTGCACAGTATATGTAAAATAGGGCTGGGGAGCTGTTGACGAGCCTGGGAAGTGCTGAGCTAAGGGGGCAACCTCAAAGGGTCTTGAATCATGCTTTCTGTTTTCTCTGTTCACTCCCTTGGTCTCTGACCAGGTTCTGATTTTCCGGTGACCAAGCCCCAGACTTTTATACCATTTCCCTAGGATTTTACTTCCTAGCCCTATATACAAATTCCTTAGTGATTAGGATTATTGGGTCACAGGATTCACAGCTGGAAGTGACCTTAGCAGCCAACTCGTCCAAGCCCCTAGTTTTACAGAAGAGAAAATGGAGGTTCATTCAGAGACATGGAGTAACTTAAACCTTAGGTCACACAGATGGGAGCAGCAGAGTAAGGATTCAAATATGTTTGCCTGTCTTCCCCTCCCCCCCATATATATTCCCTTCCCCCATCCTAGTCCTATCAGTGACTCGAATTCTTACTCAGTCTCCCCTTCTCCCCCTATCTCCCAGGGACTCGAGTTTTCTCTGTCAACTCCAGTAGCCCTATAACTGTGTCACCGATACCTGGTGCCAACCTTACCTCTTACAGACAGCACACCAATCTGGACTTATACTTGGGACTTTGCCAATTGTTTGCTCCATTTCTGCTTAGAAAATTGTATCCCTGAGGGCAGGTACTGTGTGTTAGTCATTCTTTTTTTTTCTTTCCCTTGCTTTTTGCTAGGCAATCGGGGTTAAGTGACTTGCCCAGGGTCACACAGCTAGTAAGTATTATGTGTTGTGTATATGAGACCAGATTTGAACTCAAGTCCTCCTGACTCCGAGGCCGGAGCTCTATCCAATGCACCACCTAGCTGCCCCTACTTATTCAAGTTGGAAAAGATATCTTCTGAGGTTCCTTCCAACTCTAAGATTCTATGATTCTATGACCTTCTGATTATTCAGTTCTATTTGGACCACTTGTTAATGGTCCCCAGATATCATGTGTCCCTACCCCAAGACTGATCCCAAGTATCATGCTTCTCTCTATGATCTTTTTGTCAAAACCCTACATCCTACACAAGATGAAACTGAGGTACAGAGAGAGTCACCTCATAAACCCCCATCGATGTGGTTACCTATGATAGTCAGCCATATGACACATTTAGCTCAAAGCAAAAGCATTTATTGGAAGAGCATAGGAAGAAAAGTAGCAACAAAATGACTCTTATAAACTTGAGGCACATGCTCCTACAAATACTCCATCAAGTGGTGAGGTATGAAGATTGAACAGGATGGGGCCAACACATGGAGAATGCATGTGCAGGGCCAATTTACACCTCTATGATGAGCTTTTGTAATTATGCTTCCCTGTTCCTTGGCTGAATGTGATGCTCTACTGAGCTCACTGGGTCTGTTTTCTACTGGGCACATCGTTCCATCAGTTGGATGAATTCTTTGATACTTCTAGCTTAGAGCTCAGCTGAAGACCTTGGCTAGGGAACAGTTGTGCTTTTTGAAATTTTTCTTTCAAATTTTTCTTTTTTTAGAAAGAACTGGAAATCTTACACTAGGACCAGTGGGAAGCTTAGCCATTTCAGGTCCCTCACAGGCTCAGCTCTGAGGCCTGCTATCTTCTAAGTGGCAGGATCCCAGCTCCAGGTGCCACGTTCTCTCTTTCTTCTTGACCTTTTTTTTTAATGCAGAAGGTTAGAGTTCAGGAAGCAATTTATCCTTGATTTCTTCTCTCAGGCTGTAGGCAAGCACATGTTTCCTATTGCCACGTACTTCTGTCATAGGAAACCATTACTATTTGGAGGGTGGAGCCTGTATCCCCTACCTCTTTTGCTGCAATCTGCAAGAGGCGAAAGTGTAAAGGTGAAGAATAGGTCCTCAAGAGCTCAGAGCTTCCTCAAGAACTCAGTCTTTCCTCTGGAGCTGATTCTTGAGCTGAATGCCCACAGAGTTGGCCCAAATTGCTTTTTAAAGGCCACTAAGGATATGGCTGATCTTCAGCAAGGCAATCACCAGAAATTCCACCCAGCAGTTGCCTTCATACAATGACCAACACTCTATTATGTTATTAGGTTAGTCAAGAAACCCATTTTGGTTCTCTTTTCAGGTTATCAGTCAATCAGTAAGCATTTATTAAGTGCCACTTTGTAACAGGAACTGTGCTAGCTTCTGAGGATCCAAATACCATAAATGAAATGATCCTCACAAGGAGTTTACATTCTAATGAAGGAAGCAATGCACGTCGAAGTATATATAGAATAAAGCTAAAGAGAAGAAATTCAAAGTAGTTAAATACATGGTAATTTGGGAGGGAGGGCACCAGCAATTGAGGGGATCATGAAGAGAGAGGGAGAAAGAAGAGAGAGAGAGAGAGAGAGAGAGAGAGAGAGAGAGAGAGAGAGAGAATAACTGAAAAGACTGGAAAAGATGAGAGAGGATGACATAGAGCACACATCTCGAAGGGTTGGCCTTGGCAAGACATAGCCTACTTCATTCTTAGACCTAGGCAAAAGGAAGTGGGAAATAATGTCAAGTGTATTTGAGATGACGAGAATTGGAAAAGAGGAAGTTCTCTTTGAATGACCTCAATTTCTCAGTAAAGTGAGAGATGAAATTTTTAAATGAGAGAGGTGGGGGAAGAGGAGGTGTGGATAACCTGTGGAGAAGAGAGAAGTTTGGAATAGTTTCTATGTGGAATGAGATACGGAATCAATTAGGGAGGAATAAAAGGACTTGCCTTGCTGTGGTGAGAGCCCAGATGAAGCTGGATAAGATGGATTTATAATATACTTGGCTACTCCAATGAGTTGAACAGGAGTAAGAGTGGAAGAGGAGAATAATGGGAGTAAACCGGGACTGAAATTTGGCAGGAGATAAATGGGATTAGGACG